TGGATCGATGAAGGTAAGCATGTTTTAGCTATGTTTTAAAACTAGGAATTATTTTGAATGAATAATAAAACAGTTATTGAATTCGGCTTTTGTATAATATGAAGAATTATGGAGATCTCGGAGGGTGTTATCCGCCTCGGCCTACGGCCTCGACGGATAACACCCTCCTCGATCTTCATAATTCTTCATAAGATACTCAGCCTCATTCATTAACTGTTAATTAAGGGATTGGGATCAGCCGAGAAAAGACTTATTTATTTTTTCTTCTTGGGCTTACGCCCTCGGTTACGCGGTTCACGTGTGTGGGTTTTGCGTGCAGCAACTTTAAAAAGAAAAATAAGAGACTGCTCGCAGTCTATCATTAAAACACTTACTTCCTTTCAATGATGTGATAAACACGTGTTGATATACGTGCACATTTAATATTCTAGGCAGTTGCGAGAAGGATTTGTCCTGAAATCATGGCAAGGAAGAGACGTTATTTATGTCTGTGAGTAGCAGTTATTCTGTTATATATTTGGATATTTTTGCTGGCCTTGTTGGACTTATTTGCCGCTTTTTCTGTGTGATCGCTTCGCTTTTCATCGCTAGCCGGATTAAAAAGAGAGAACTTGTCAGCAATCGAGCGGCGATCGCAGCGATTTTGATGTAACGATTGACTTGAGAGGCAGGTATTGGATTTGATCAACACCTTAATTAATCTCAATGGATGACAATAGTACCCGTTACATTTTGCTTCCTAATGCCAAAATTTGTAAACTAGAGGTCTTGCACGATCCAGTGCCGAGTTTTGTATCTCGATCGCTGCCGTATTGCCAGGTTGTTGGTTTACTGATTGCAGTGTGTATTTTTTTCAAGCTGTAATACTTAGTTATTAACTTATAATTCCAATCGAGTTCACCTAGAAATAGATTTATAAATCGTTTTCATGATTAAATAGGTTGAGATGAACATCTTATATGTCCATCAGTAAAGAAAAGAAATTGAGCCCGATGTTTGAATGTTGGACGGCCAATCGCGTTTGAATATCATTTTTCTTTTTAACAACTTGAAAATTAAGTGATCTAATTAAGACAAAATTTATTGAAAATGAAAAAAGGGTTTTAAAAAAAGAAAACCAGCAAAAAGAAAAATTGAAAAGAAAAGAAGAAGAAAAAAAGAGAAACTTGTCCCCTGACGAGATTTGAACTTGCGTCTTTGGACGAGAAAAACAGAGAGAAATGCTGAATTAACCCTCTCGACCACGCCAACAAACCCCGAAAAATCAGGCTTAAAACCGGTACATATTCCATCTCTACAATGATTGACAGTTTTCAGTAATTGAAGTTTTTAGGTTTTTTATACAACTATGGAATATTTAACTGAGGGTGTGAATGGGGTCAACCGACTAGCGACAAAGGGCTAAAAATATTTTCTGACTACCGACAAAATGAGTAAAAAATTACCGACTACCGACAGGAAAAATATTAACCGACCACCGACATGGGCTGATATTATCAATATTTGTTTCCAGAAAAAAGAGCATTTTGTATTTAATCTAACCGTTAGCTCGAGGAAGTAAGTAACCTCTTTAAATTTTTGACTCATCAGATGGCCTAAGGGAAAGAATTTCCTTTTTTTGTTGTTGATACAGGTACATTGCTACAGCCAATATCAAAATCACAAAGTCACACCTTAAAGATGCTACCGACATAATAATTTTTATTGAAAAGTCAAAGGTGAAAAAACCGAACTTTTTTGCTTAGATTAATCCTCACAGAAAATTCTTTCCCGTTTAATGTAAAGAACTATCAGTACAAACCCACGTTACCGCGATGAGCACAAAGACAGTAGTTTCCTTTCCAACATTTTCATGGCACATATTGAAACACAAAGTTTTTAGCAAAACCGTCTTTAAACCAACTGTTTGAAAACGCTACATAAATGACATTTTTTCCCTATGGGACATAAGTAAACCAGACATCGTAGCTTTCTTCTTCAAAGCTTAAGATTGTCCACTTTAACATTCGTTCCCTTCGTAGTCCATTGCATTTAATTGAGCTCAGGGATTGGGCTGCAGCGAATAAAAGAGGGTCTCAATGGGGTGGTGGCTTTTACGGTTATCGGCTAAAATTTTGGCTCTTTTAGGGCTATCGGTTAATTTTTTTCAGTTACGGTTAACAAAAAAGTTAAATATTAACTTCTTTTGTTTCAAAAAGTTAAATATTAATTAACCTGTATTTTTTGTATCTTTAAAGCAAAATAAAGGTCTTAGGATCATCTCGGGATGAAATAAGCTATTCTTTTGAAAAATTTTAACATTTGATAGATTATACTTTTCATATAAAGTATTCCACGTCTAATTTTACTTTACACATAGAAATGTCAATAGTCAATTTAAAAATAATCTTTGTGAAAAAGCAAAGCACACACGCGAACGCCCAACTGAAGTCCGGGGCGCGACATTCATTACAACAGAAATGGCCGTTTTCACACTAGAGACAGATTATTCGTGTGAGACGGGTTATCCGTTTGATGATTCGCGTCAGATAGGTAATACGTCTTAATTTGAAAATGGAATAGTTTCAATTTTGAATGAAAAATCTGCCTGAATTTGCCCGTCAATTTCGACGGACAGTTTGAAGACGGGATTATCCGTTCCAGATAGCCTGTGTACAGCCGCCCCCTCAGGAAAAATCGGAGAAGAGGTGTCTGTCGGGAAGGGGGCGACTGTACACAGGCTAGTCTCAGACGGATCTAGACGGATCTAGTGTGAAAACGGTCAATAACAAAATTCTGGTGTCCAGTGTTTTTAATGGTAGCGAAGGACTATACGGTACGACTGTTTGCGTTGCCTTGTCATAGGCCTCATTATTTCGCACATCTAATGCGTTTCGGGTCACGTGGTCCGAGCGAGTTCGCCACCGAAATGCCTTGATCGAGATGGCGTGGGAAGACGCCATACCGGGACTAGGCATGGCAATGTCTACCGTAGTGTCAGAGAAAAACAGGGAAATGTTGTTTATCGGCAACGTGTTTTACAAACAGTGACATCTCTGCGTGTTGTTTCACTAGTGTTTCAAGCAGCCAGGAAAAAGTGCCCTGGGGACGAGGTTGTGTTTCGAGGGCACGACCTTCTGAAAATCGCGAATATGAATTCCCAGCAAGAAGCCACACTTTCGCTATGGAAAAAAATAGTTCCCCGAGAGAGCGGCGGAAGTGGAGCCTAGGTCTAGGTCAACACCTAAAAGGCGCCTAGCCTAACGTGCGTACGGAGTCAAAGTAGCCGGAAAATAAAAAAAAAAACGCAACCATAAGTGTCATAAGTGAGTTTAGTACCTTCCTTAAAAGTAGCAAATCTAGGGAACACTTTCTTTTACGGTTAACTTTTTTTTTACCCTATTTACGGCTAACGGTTAAAATTTTTCAATTTTTACGGCTATCGACTAAATTTTTGGCCGTTTTACGCCTATCGGTTAACCCCATTGAGACCCTCATAAAACCGATGTGATTACCATCTCTGAAAATTGGCTGAATACCTCCGTAACCAACTGTGAGGTTAGCATTGACGGCTATAAGCTCTACAGACAGGATCGGTTACGTAAACGCGGCGGGGGAGTCTGTACTTATATTCGCAAAGACATTACAGTCACTGTACTGAAGGACATTTCCAATTTATCTGATAATTATTTCCATCAGTTTAGGCTAAAACTGCAATACAGGAAATTGCGATCAGTCGTGATTTGCATACTCGCTACAGACCACCTGATTGTCTGTTATCCTGTTTTGAAGAGTTGCTGAAACCGAGTTACATTCAAGCACTTATCATGAACAAGCCCATTGCCGTCTAAGGAGACCTTAACTGTAACGTCTTAAAGGAGAGCCCAGAGAGCAAAGCTTTGTCTAATTTTTTGTCTGAGACTAACCTGAGGCAGATAATTACAACACCAACAAGGATAACAGACACCTGCGAATCTCTGATTGATGTTATTTTAGTCTCATCTCCTGACCTCGTCCACGCGCGTGGCGTTAGTAACACTCCTATTAGTGATCACTTACCTGTATACGTGGAGTTAAAGCTGAAACTCCCTAAACCTTCACCGTGTTATATCTCAACAAGGAGTTACAAGCTTTATAACCCCGATCTGTTTACCGCAGACCTAGCAACCAAGTCAGACAAATTCCTTTTCAGAGGAAGATATAAACTACAAACTCGCAATGTTTAATGACACTTTTCTTTCCACACTGGACGCTCATGCACCAATTAAGTCGATCTGAATTCGCAGTCGTCCCTGCCCTTACCTAACACCTGAAATTAAGGATCAGATGACCTTTAGAGATCAGCTCTTTCGTCGTTACCGAGAAAGCCAAAATGCAGACGCCTGGAAGGCCTCCAAGGAAGCCCGGAGATCTGTAAAACAACTTCTTAAGAATGCCGGGTGTGACCACATCCACACAGAAGTCCAATCACACAAAGTTAACCCTCTGTGGAAAATAATCAATACTTGTATTCCATCCAAAGAAAAGAGATCAAATGGCTACCGTTAAATGAGCATCTCCACTACAGAGACACTGTAATGACGTTTAGGTGCATGAAGGGCCTAGCCCCCACATACTTGTGTGAGTCTCTCCGAAGACGCAAGTCTATTCACCATCATAACACTAGAAACAGAGAATTCCTTGATATTCCTCCAAGTAAGACAAAGTCAGGCCAGCGACGTTTTCTCCATAGAGCAGTCAACATTTGGAACAATTTAGATAAAGACTTTAAACAGTTATCTTTAACATCATTTAAAACAAATTTGAAAATGCACATGCTAGAGAATTATTTTAATTTATAGTTTATAATTTTATTCATTTTTTATTATAATGTTCTTTGCTGTTTAGTATCGAAAATCCCCCCTGGGGAATACTAATAAAGTATGCGTATATGAGGGGCGGAATTTACATAACACAACAGTAACGTGAGCTTGGGACGCCTGTGGTATAAGGGATTAAAAAGTGTCATTATCAATAAACAACTAACCTTTCTGCTTCTCTGTTGGAGGAGGACATAATTCATTATTGAAACCACATCTTGGACGGTCTTTGGGCGGAATTGTACTCCCACCAACCCAAATCTTGGTCACATTGTTGCGAAACACAAGCAGAGGAAAAACTTTCTTGGAACCATTACCAGAGGAATTTCCATAAGTGCTTTGGAAGTCTGCAACTGGAACCATTACTAAAGGAAGGAGAAACAAAAAACTATGGCACAAAGAACCAACTGATAAAGATGGTTTTTCAATCCGTGACACAGGCGGTTCGGACGAAAAAATCCCAGTACTCCTAACAGGAGTGTGATTGATTAAAAAACCACCTTTCTCATGTATTCACCAGGCTCAAAATTCACCAGCGTATCTCTATCAAAGAACAAACTGTTGGCTCCAATTTGCTTATGCATCGCTGCATTCTTACCGGAGACGTTTTTAAGAGCAGTGAACAAAAATAAAAGAATTTACTCTGACAAATCACAATGGGAGCTGACTTCAAATGGACCAACCAAATCACACACAAGGCGCGGCAAAACGCAGGTCTGAGCAGCCCATGATTGCTTTTAGTTTTCGACGTCTAGATTGAGAAATGATGCAAGATTTGTAAGCCGGCTAAAAATTTACCCGACAAATTACGAATTGTAAACCGCCTTGAGACTTCTGATTTTAAGGATAAGCCAGCCCTGTTATGGGAAAACGTATTATTCCTGGTTCTAATAATTGATCACTAAGGGGATTTTCTTTGATCGTTTGTCATATTCTCTCAATTAATTCATCAAGCAATATGGAGATCAGTCCAGAGAATTTTTATGTTGAAAACTACCCTGCAGAGAGGATTTCCTTGGACAAGGGTAAAGTTTAGTTAAACTTCCTCCCATAACTGACTGTCGGTTGTAGCTCTGTTTGATTGTCTACTGTCTGACGCTGACTAGCTAGCCACCGACACACTTCTGTTTAAGACCTTAAGATATGGCCCTGTATTCTGTAGTTGCTCCCAAGAATAAATTAGCTGAACGAAAAGCGTTTGTTGATTGCGTGGTGACTGAGAGTGCCAATTTGAAAGATAACTTTTGGCTGTAGATTTCTTTGGCTTTCTGTGTCACCTTGGTGAAGAAAGAGAATGCCGCTTTCAGTCGCCTACAAAATTATAGGGTTCAATATTTACCGGTCGTTTTGATACAAACACGTTTTCGAAACAGGTTTACTCAGCTGAGGTGTAAATAGTTCAACGTACTTGACTTAACAACAAAGAATATCCACCCAAAATGTTTTTCTTGTTCACGCGTAAACTATATTCCAAGTGAAAGAAATTTTTTCTACAATTTCACGGCTTGAGTTCATATCAAAACGACTTGAATCGAAACGATTGGTTTCCAGGTTCAACTTACATGCTTTGCCTAGAATGTTTCTTATATCCCATAAAGTCAGGTTAAAATCAGCATCACCATTGTCATCCAGGTCGGTTGTATAGCCCTGAATACCTGCAGCGAATTAGTGAAAACTGGTGAAAAAATTGCAAATACTTGTCTGTTTTACTTTGTTGTTGCTTTGACATCTGCAGTAACTAATTTACCGAATATAACTTTGATTTTCCAAGACTTTCCAGGACTGGAAAATGAAATTTGTAAATTTCATGACTTTCCAGGTTTTCCATGACCTGTACGAACCCCGTACGAACCCTTTACAGATAAAATACGCATAATAGCCTTTACAGATAAAATGCGCATAATCTAAGTGCATTTAAAGATGAGTTAGGTAAGATAAACTGGGCTGAAATGTCTGGTTTAAATGATCGTTCTTGCGCTTATGAACTCTTTGTCGGAAAGTATGCTACAATTTACGATAAATGTTTTCCACTCAGAAAAATGAAAGCGAAACGGTTCAATCTTTGTAAGCCTTGGTTTACTAAAGGTCTTGCTAAATCCATATGGAAGAAAAATATGTTATATCAGTCATTCCTTAATAACCCTAACTCTTCCAATGAAAAGCATATAAGTCGTACAAAAACGAACTTACTCATTCTCTTCGAGTTGCTAAGCGTTTACATTATGAAAAACAAATTGAAAAACTAAAATCAAATGTGAAGGCTACTTGGAAAGTTCTAAATGAAATCCTTAATAGAAATAAAGGAAAGCGTGGTTTGCCATCTATATTTAGGGCAGATTCTCGAGAAATTCTCAATCCAAAGGAAATAGCTAATTTCTTTTGCAAATATTTTACTAACATTAGCCCCAATTTAGCTACACACCTTTTCTTTTCTTTTTTCTCTTCTCTCTTTTTTTTTCTTTAAAAAATGAATCCAAATTTTCATTCAGTACCCTTAACTTGTATGGTTCACCCTGTAGTTCCAGGAAGCCTATAGTTTATAAGCCCCCGGCTTATATATAGGCTTCCTTGCCTTTACCACATTTAATCTTGTAAATAACTTAATTGGAATATTGTATATTATCTTTCATGTATTTCTGTATACTGTTGTTGTATTTCTGGTTAATGGCAAAATAAATGAATGAATGAATGAATGAATGAATACACTACATCAGCACTCACCTTCATAAGTGTAATCACGAAGTTGTGAAAAAATCTCCTGCCCTGAAGGAGTCCTATTTTGTTCTGCAGGAGGTAGTTGTGCAATGGAGTTATTCGAGGCTACAGCAAACTGATAAACAGCATCGTACAAGTAGGCTCCATATATTGGAGGCTGCAACATAACATGTATTAAGTAATGCATGTAAATAATGAATCCAAATGTCATGCAGACTAAATACAATAGCTAAATCAAACCGTGAAATGGCACGCCAAATTCTTATGCTGTGAAAGTATAATACACACTGTATAACTGACAATATGATCGGCCCTAGTGGCATATTTAGAGTCATTAACTTACTTTCCCTGTGAAAATTTTGCCAAACACTTTTACTAAGAAGTCATGAGCTAAAGTCCAGAACAATAAAATTGAATCCCAGTTCAAAGAAAAACAAAAAGTCTTAAACTGCAAATGCTTGGGCCTCTATGTAACCAGACAGTGAAGACAGACTCCAAAACTCTGTATTACAGTTTACTGAAATAAAATATACTCCTTCTGTTGTAAAGCACAACAAAGACTAAAAGAAATAATGTGTCATTAAAGAACATCATCGGGTATATTACAAACTCACAATAGCCTGCTCTCCTATTGGCTTGATTAGCTTAATGGACAGACCATAGCTTCCAGTCATTGCAAAGGTCAGGCCGTTTGATTCCCGGTAAAGCATGAGTTTTTTTTTTATGTTCTTTTTCAACCACTTAGGTTGTTCATTCAATGGCAAGGATCGTGTTCACTTTCATAAAATAGAGCTATAGCATAATATTTATACTTACAAGATAAGCCCAAGTTTTTGCACTTGCATTGTAGTGCGAGCTGTTGAAAGGGCTCTGTGATGTCTTGAACTTCAACTCTGTAACAAAATCCTCAAAGCTCTTCCCTTCTGCAGTTTTCACAGCAAAAACAAGAGCAGCCTGCATAGCTTCCTCGATGTCCATTTTTGTCTTGCTTCGGTCTCTTCATTAAGGAAAAACAAAGCAAAAATTTTTTTAAAAAAAATTGTAGGAGGGATCACATGAAACGTTCTGTAGTTTTCACAGCAAAATTAAGAGCAGCCTGCATAGCTTCCTGGATGTCCATTCTTGTCTTGCTTCCGTCTCTTCATTAAGGAAAAGCAAAGCAATTTTAAAAAAAATGCAGCAGGGATCACATGAAACCTTAATTAACACTTCTATGCCACATCACCGGGATAAAGGGCAAAATTAACTCAAATTGCCAAATGAAAGCCAATTTCAAGCCAGAAAAATTACAGTTTTTAAGGACCAAGATTTATTAAATAAATCTGCATTCTGGTGTAATCCCCTTTTGAGCTTATGGTTGGTTAAAACACTCAATGCACATGCAGTCATCTCTGACTTTTATTTCTGCAGCCATGGTTGATCACATTATTTTTACTTTTCAAGACCTTTTCAAGACCTTTTCAAGGTCTAAATTCTAATAAAGAAAATAAATGCTTTTCAAGGACCTTAACCGAATTCAAGGACTTTAGCTTTTCAAAACAACTTCTAAAATTCAGGACCTTTTCAAGATTGTACAAACCATGTAAACCATGAACTTTTATCTATGCTGACAGGGGATGAGAGATTCAAATTTTCTCAAAATCAAACAGCATTCATACTAACTGTCATTTCTGTCAGATGACTTTTGAGCATCGTTCACTACTGGTTAAGATATTCGGGAAGCCTGCATAGCAAAGTATTTCAAGGAATAGAACTATCTACGGTAGGTTAGCTTTTGTAGTAGAACTCAACTGACTTACAATATCCCTCTAAAGCAGTGAGTGTTTCAATGCATTTGACATTATTTGGGTAAGAGAGGTCTTAAAATGAGGGTATGACCTTTCAGACAACTTAGCTGCTAGAGCTTTTCCATCAAGGGTAGTGCCATGTCCCTCACCCCACCCCCACCCCCAAGGCGAGTGCGCTTCTAGTGTTTCTTTTTTTTTGCCTTACTGGTCAAGAGTGGTCCCATTATATTCTTGGGTTTTGCTGGAAGTCTAATTTTTTGGGGTTTTGATTTTTGCCCACATTTTCTCTCGAGCATCCTCGTCACTTGAAATCCAGAGCAGCCTTCCCCCCGCAAGGTCAGTGATCATCTACCTGTACTTGAAATTCAAATAATTGATAAACCACCAAAATTCGGTTCCAGGAGTTGCTGCCTTCTTGACAAATAGGTGATCGAGATGAAATACAATAAATGCAAACTTTCCATTGATCATGCCCACTTGCTTGGCAAGATAAAGGGTCTCCAAACCAATAAAGTAAGTTCCAAAAACCAACACAACTATAAAAAAATTAAAATGTCCAGGTCAAAGAAGTGAGCACATTAATGTATAATGTTATTAATGTTGTGTTGGTTATTTCCAATAACCAACACAACTATAAAAAAATTAAAATGTCCAGGTCAAAGAAGTGAGTACATTAATGTATAAGGGGTGAGGACAAAACATGGACCAGGGGTCCATGGACTCCCACCTTGGACCGGATCCATGGAGCCCCTGTCATGGACCGGGTCCATATGGACAGTTTTTTTAAAATAGTGAGAAATGAACAAAAACAGAAATAGAGCAAAAATAGGATTAAAAGCAACAACAACAACAAACAATACTTGATTGATGAGTATTATTCACTTGTGCTTATATAATGTAAACACACGAATTTTACCTCACGCCAAAATGTTGCTTGTTCTTATGAATTGTTTCCTCTGACAGGTGGATTATGCTTTGGAGGAAAACGTTTTGACTGAGCAAATGTGAATTTTTTGCTGCTTACAGTGAAACCTATATTAAGCGGACACCCTCGGGGAATGCTGCACTCTCCGCTTAATACAGGGTGTCTGCCTAATACAGTTTTCGATAGATAATGTCATATGAGGTGTCAAATGCCATTCAAATGAACAGTGGAAACGTTCAGAATACTTCCTGAGAGACTACGATGATATACGTTTGCATAAAGTGGACCAATTGATCATAGTACCATAAACATAGATTGCAACTCAAATTTGAAGAAATCAGATGAGCAAAACAAGCTCTATACAAACAAAACGAAATAGAAAACAATACTGTACTGTGAAACTGATCAAGTCACGTTTTTTAAAGTAAAAATCGAAACATTTGTCAGGGGCACCCAATGAGGATATAGTTCCAAACCACTTAACATAGCTTTGTTGAACGCATTTTAGTTTTTAAACGGTAGATATAGGCATATTTTTATACCCTAAAAACTTTTCATCTGTTCGGATTTCCTAGCTGAAAGTCTAGTGATCCGAAAATTATAGGGATCAAAACTTACCTTTTCGAAAATTTCAGCCAGGAAAAGGCTTCCGAAAATTCTAGGTGGCCTTTTTTAGGGTAAATATCCGTTTAAAATGGGTAATTATTCCATTTTGTAGATGTTCGAAAATCCTAGGAGAGGCAGGCAAGCAAGAAATTTTACAACAAATGTTCCGAAAATTCTAGTTCTCAAATCGTCCTCCGAACAGATATTTTCCCGAAAATTGCCGTTGGGTGCCCCTGATTTGTGGGTGGCAATGCGAGGCAACCTTTTGCATTTCCGGTGTCTGGCATGTTGGGTGGTGGAATTTAATTATTATTGTCAGTTTAATACAGGTTGGCAACAATAGAAATGACCATTTCAGGTACTTTTTAGGTGTCCGCGTCTCAGTTTAATAGAGGTGCCCGCTTAATAAAGGTTTCACTGTATTTCATGCGGAAAGGTCAATGTTTGGTCACGCTGGGCCCAGCTTGTTAGCGTTTTTAGCAGGATGATTAATTCTCATGGATAGTGATTTACAGATCCAAATATCGAAGAAGTGGATTGTAGCTTAAACCGAATTTAGCTACATCAACTATGGAGAATTGTGATGTGACTCAGTCACGATTGCTCTAAGAGCAATGAATTCTAAACTTCAGCTTTTTCATAATGCGAGTCTTTGTACGGGAGCGCGTTGGCTTAACAGTCTTCTTCTTCGTCGACTGTACATGTACAAGCAGAGTACGTAAGCACAACTAAATATTTGTGAACAGCATCTTGTCAAATCTTATTTTTGCACTATCTGTTTTTGTTCAATTCTCATTACTTAAGAAAAAGTGTCCATGGACCCGGTCAACGAAAGTAGTCCATGGACCCCTGGTCCATGTTTTGTCCTCACCCATGTATAAGTAAGACTAAAGACTAGTTATTGCCCATACTAATAAAGGTTATCATGAAGTACATTGGACCATTAAATAGGCATCAGGAGCAACCTTTAACCAAATCCTGCTGTTAGCCATAGAAAAACCCAAAGTTTACGGCATGTAGTTATTGCCTTGGAGCAGTATTGATTCAGATTCCAAACTTTTCATGTACTGAACTTAACACATTGAATCAAGTACATGAAAAGTTTGATGTCTGAATCAATTAGGAACACCTATGCTCAGCCATTCTTCCTGTCTAGCCTGGCAGGGAATTTTGGACTTTAAAGCGACTTCGGAGTAGCTTTGATTCAGATGCCTAAAAAGTATTCCTATAAGATTCTTCACACTAACTCCATCAGAGCCTTCCACATAGACATTCTTAGGGCTTTGTCACGCGTTTATTCCCCTTTGGTGGGGAGGATTGCATAATGAGCCAAACAAACATCTGCAGGGGAAGCTAACTCCATCAGCCCTGCCTGTAAATCAACGGCCTAATAATTATATGCATCCCTCTAAAACCTCTCCTTAACATAACTTAAATAAATCTGACATATTAAAACAAACCTTTTCAGTGCCATTTCTATCAAAGAGGAAGTTAGAGAGGAATTAATGCTCTTAACCCATAACCCCTTAGATAAAAGCAAGTAACTAGACCAGAATTATTATGGGGAAAAGGGGTAAGGGATGAAGTACTCCAAATATGGACAGCAGGTCACTTTTCTCTACATATTGGTGTAACAGTCCGAAATCTACAAGGGGAGAGGTGATAATCCTCTCTAGGGAGTGATAATCCCCCAGGATAGTGTGAGGTGATAATCCTCTCTTGGGGGTGCTAATCCCCCAGGATAGTGAGAAGCTAGGGGATTAGCCTGCGTAGCATGGCGGTTTTGGTTGGGCGAACTAAGTAATAAAGGCGGGCGAGGGCAGAGAAACCGCGAGGAGATTGGAGCGGGAGCAACTTGAAAAACCGCCTGCACGGACGGGGGGCTTTTTTGAGTCGGTCCGTACGCCAGCGTACGGATCGTTCCGATTGGTTCGGAATGTTCGCTTGTCAATCAAATATTTTGGTAATCTCCCATGGGAGAGTTTGGAGAGACTGAACAAATCATCTCCGCAAAACAAAATCAAAATATCAAAGAAGCGTCGACCGAAGCGTCGTCGATCTTGAATATTTGACGGGAAAACAGGGCAATTGTATTGAAGCCTAAACAGGAAATGGCCATTTACAGTCTTCTTCAAAGGAGAGATGTCATGGAAATTTTGTCAACAAGATTTGGCAAGAGCATGATCTTTACTGTCTTTGCTATGGCCAAAGAAGAAATATCCTCATCGAAAACCTGTATGATCACAATTTCCCCTCTAAAAAGTACTATCGACGACCAGATATCTGAAATGTTGTCGCTGAGCTGTACAGCAATGGACCTTATGACAGAAACAGTAAAATTCAGTGCTTCGAGAAAGTTCACCTCAATTTTCTCTATTACTCGGTGTTAGACAATAACGCACTCCAGCGCAATACTACGAACGTTGTCCGCGATTGTGGTCGATGAATCGCATATTGCAGTCTGTGGAACTCCATACTTCTCCATACTTTTTTGCTTGGTGTAGCTTAAGTTTAAGCTACAACTCAAATCTGAAGATCGCGCGATACGTAAAAATACAACATCCTGCAAACAACACTTAAAAAGCCGGGCCCAGCGTCAAAACATTCACGGACAAAGAAACTACAAACCAAGGCTCCTTGGTTTGTAGTTGTCCAGATCC